TTAACAAATGATATGTTTATATTTGAAACTTCAGTTTTGTATAAATTGTGTGAATTGTGAAGTCATCATACATTTTTTTATTGAGATATCATTAGCAAATAGCGCCTGTTAGGCGCATGCTCCTTTCTATAATGAGCTATTTTCGGTGCAAAAGATTCAATATGTTCCAGTAGTAATTCATGGTTGAACTTATTTTTAGAAACCTTTCCTCTTCTTTTGTCAGGCCCAGGAGATATTTTTTCTTTCTAAGATAACAAAGCTTTTTCTGTCTTGAGCAGAATTAAGAACCCAAAACTGCTCATTTATTTCTTTTTGTCTATCCAGTGTTATTTGTAGTGTACATTTTAATTTAAATATTTTTGAACATGGCATCATCACAGGGTGGGACTCAATAATTCGCTTTCGCTTTATATCGTTTCTTTCCTGAATTGAAAAGTTATATATTTTTCTTTTTCTTGGTTTTCCTTCTTTAGTAAACAAGCTAGAACTCTGCATCTACCTCCGTTGACTTAAACCTAAATTATAATTTTCAACAGACTGTCTTGATTCACAGACTGTTGACTAATTGTCGCCGTCATCGCCTATATCTAACAAAGCGGAGGATACTTTTAACTGATCTAAGGTGTCTTGAATGTCGCCTTCATCGCCTGTATCTAACAAAGCGGAGTAGACTTTTAACTGATTTAAGGTGTCTGGGTTAAAATCAACAGGTAATAAAGACCCATCTTCAATATTTACTTCATAGATGCCTATGATGGTGTTAGAAAGCAATTTATTTTCTTTGGGTAAATCATCGTTGTTGTAATTTACATTTAGATTAGGACTGGAATGTTCACCTAAATTTGCAGGCTTAATATTCTGAAGAAGAGACGTCGCCGTCGTACCTCTTCATATAACTTTGTATTACAATTTTATTCTTGGTGAAATTTGTATTAAACTTACCCAAATTTGATATTTTTTCAGACAATCCTTCTCTAATTTCAACAGAAGTTTTAGTTACTGGAGAACCAATATGCGCCTCTCCTGCAAAAATGTAATAATTGTTAAAAATGTCTGTCTTTATACAGCCTCTTAAATAACTAATACACAGCCCCTTAAAAGGGCCCCAGTAAATTGACTTTTGTGGCCTGCAAACATAGTTTCAAATCAATTTATTGATAAAAATCTGTAAATAATTTAAATATTTCTGATAATTTTTTGATCGCTCCCACAAAGCCTCTTGTTCCCAAAATAGTGCCAATTCCGTCAAATTAATTGGGCCCTTAAGAGGCTATTATAAGTATAGCTTTTTATGAAAGCATTGGCACACGACGTTTTTTTGCTTAAAATAGCGTGTTATGACGACTTTTCGTTAGGCACACTCAAGGCGAAACGCCCTGTATAAAAATAGAAAAATAGAAAAGACTTACCCGAAGTTGTTTAAGTTAACATATCAGCCATCAACTTTCCTCTGGTGTAAGGAAAAGCCATCTTCCTATGAAAACTAACATAGTTTTGAAAAACTAACTTACACTGATAATACCTATATTATTTCTTATAAATCATTACTGTAAAACGACACTATTATAATCATTAATTAAAAAGAAATTGAATAAATATCAAACTGACAACAAACTAATCACCTGTTTGTACTCTTTTGAGGTTATGAAAAGACACAAACATACTAGAGCAAAAAGGTAGTAACTACTGTAATACTAAAATATAAATGCTGTATCTGTATTATGCTAAGGCACAAAGTGGTAACTACTGCAGGTACCACTTTAACTGCTTACTATTTATATTTAACGACCAATTAGCCTTAGTAAATTAGGTAAAAATAGCAAATATCACTTATTTCAAACGTCGAATTTAAAATATATCCCGCTAGATATGACCATTAAACCTTAGCAGTAGGTACAGTAAATTACACAGAATCGACTGGCTATAATAACTCAATTTCGCCCAAAAACGTAGATACGACCTTTGCGCTTAGTACGGCAGTATGATCGTGATAACAAACAACTGGAATTCTTCTCGGTAGTAGCTATGTACATGAAACACTTCATCACCTCTTTAATCTATTGAATGTCGAATATTACGCAGCCAGGATAGTTGTTTTTGTTTGACACAGTGTTTTTCTTCTCGGCGTTAAAGACATTAGCAGATAAAAATACCAAATATGCCGGGTTATAATGTCATGGAAATAACCTATGGTAGCACTTACAGAAACATAATATATATATATATATATATATATATATATATTATATATATATATATATATATTATATATAATAATATAATGCTATGGTTAAAGATACATCCACTAAAGACGATATCCACTAGATATCGTTTGTATACTACAAACTACATACATGTTTGTAAACTACCCACGGTGATCTGGTGAGAAAGTTTTATCAACTATTTCTTGGCCAACAGTCATCAGATTGACTGAAAATATGACCACAATATATAAAATGGAGAATTATTAACAGATTAGGTAGAGATCTCCATCTCCACTTTTTGTTTAAAGTAGATGTACAAAGGTACCTTAAAACCTAGATCTTGGAATAGGGAATACAACAAAGCATGCCTTCATGTTTAAAGATTACAGAAATCAGCTTTTCCCCACCACAAGAAGCATCCTGTCTAAAATAGTATTTATGCCGATTTCATAGACACGCCATTATATTTTACTTTTATGGTTACACTTCCATTAATCTTTTTCATTTGTTTTAAACGTTTTAACATTTGGCACCCCTTTCCTCGGGTAGCTGTAGCTGTAGCTTCCTCCGTGGTTATTGTTAGTTATTGCCCTGGAAACCATCAGGGTCTTCTAACTCTAATGCCACAAATTAGTCGCATTGCTCCTGTAGTGATCCTTTCCAAGTTAACATGCTTTTTTCTAACTTGGCTGCATCGTACTGAAAAATAATAGTCAAAAATACGTAGATACGTTTGCTTTCCATCGATATACCTATTTTGTTTTCAGTTTTCCTGTTTTGCGAGACATGCTATTACATTTTACTTTTATTATTCACATGCATTAACCTGTTCTATTTATTTTAAACGTTCTAACGTTTGTCATTTCTTTCCTCAGGTAGCTGTAATCAACTGTAATGCATCAGGGTCTTCTAACTCTAATGTCACAAATTAGTTGCATTACTCTTGTAGTGATCCTTTCCCAAGTTAACATGATCCTTCTCTAACTTGGCTGCACCGTACTGAAGATGACCAATAGTCATAAATACGTATATATGGTTGCCTTCCATATAGTTCACTAGGATACTGAGTGTTGTCGGTCAAAATTTGGAAAATAAAAGAAAGGATACTTGCTACTTCATCCTTTATTAAAGAAGGCGTAACGTATATGAATCCATAACCATTATCAGTTTATCTAAATCAGTTAAATGAGCAAACATCTATAGAAAAATTGTTAAAAGGCTTAGGTTCCAAATTTTTTCAATCTCGTCGTTTAGTATCTCCTAAATATTTATTTGTTCTCTAATTCGTAGTAGTAATTAGATTGCACGTCTTATTAGTTTATAACCTTATTAGTTGATAGTATAATCTTATTAGTTGTTTATAATACAAGAAACTCTAATAAACAAAAGACTGATATTTTTTTTGTACACACTTATGACAAGTCGAAAGAAAATGCAAAAATGTATTTTTGAAGTGTGTATATTTTAGGCAATTCCTAGCTGAGCGCTTTCGGCTTTACAAAGCCATTTAGTTCTATTCTGTCTACGTCCTCACATCAATCAATGGTCGGGTTCTTACACCCGTACCATGACAAAAAATTTTTCAATTTTTTAACGTGTTTGTGAAGTCCAGTGTCGGCTTTTTATATGTTTTTTTTATATGTTTTAAGAATTTCAACACCTAAAAAATCATAATTTTGAAATTTAAGGAAATGAGATCTCTCCTTTGTAGTAGTATTTAAAAAATTGACCATAGCTCTGATGATGGCTTTGTAAAGCCGAAAGCGCTCAGCTAGGAATTGCCTAAAATATACACACTTCAAAAATACTTTTTTGCATTTTCTTTCAACTCTAATAAAGTTAATGGCTTTCATATATGATATCACTTTTTGCACATAATAGGACATAGCAAGCGAGATGTTAAGCAAAATTTTCTAGCTATGTACACGGCAGCAAAACAGATCGGTCTACTCATCAATGAAGACAAATCTAAGTACATGTTGGTTACTAAGAATCCTATAGCAAAAGAGGAACGGGAAACAATCTTGGGAAGTCATATTTTTAAACAGCTGTGTTGACAGCTTCTCATACTGTGGCTCGCTAGTGACTGCTACCAACAAAATAAGCGAAAAAATTAGAAAACGAATAAACCTTACAAATGGGGCATATTATGGACTCCAAAAACAATTTCACTAATAAAAAAAAAAATTAAAATTATTTTATATAAAACACTACTATCTCCGGTCTTCACATATAGGGAAGAAACATGGACCCGAAAGCAGAATAAAGAAGAAGTTTTGGGTATTTTCGATCGTAAGACACTCCGTAAAATATTTGGGGCTATGAAAGACCAAGATCAGTGGCGCAAAAGATCGAATAAGTTCGAATTCATTTTAATGAACCAGACGTCGGCATCTGCCATAAAAACATAGCGACTAAGATGTGCTGGACGACTAATATAAATGCCAGACAACATCAATGCTCTACAGCTAACCATATAAACACTTGTAGAAGAAAAGGTGGTGAAAAAGGTCGACCGACTTAGTGATATTAAAAATCAGAAGATGGCAAAAGGTTGCCAAAAACCGAACAGAATAGCAACGAATCGTAGAGCAGTCCAGGATAAAGGTGATGAATCGCCAAAAAGGAAGCACATACATGAAAATGATACGGTTCATCATATATATATATATATATATATATATATATATATATATATATATATATATATTTCTAACTAAATTTAAAATTCAATATTTGTCATTATATTATTTTATTGCTTCGTTATGTACAAATTATGTTACAAATTTACAAGGTTTATAAATAAGCAGGAGCAGATAAGTAAGGGGCAGCGACCCTGTAACTCGCCAACAAAGGAGCGGCGGGAGCTGCTACATAAGGTGCTGTTGCTACTGGAGCGGCTGCCACGAGAGGAGCTGCTGCAACCGGAGCGGCTGCTACAAGAGGAGCTGCTGGAGCGACTAAAGCGTTGTATTGTCGAGCGAATACTTGAGAACTTTGTGCAGTGACGACTGCTGGACCTACAGCTGGGGCTACTGCTAGAGGAGCTGCAACGAAACTTGGATCGGGCTTGGCAGCTGGGTTGGCCAGAACGGCAGAGGCAAGAGCTAAGATAACAACCTGTAACACAATAAAATGTATTAGTCACGGGAGGTGCTAATACTAATAAAAATTATCAATGGTATACCGTTAACATTATCTAATATAGAATAAACCTTTTCAGTAATAAATGAGGTTAGGTTATATTAATTCAAATATACTAAACTGTACCAAATCATTGACTGTGTTGTTAGATCAAATAAACACTACTTTATGTATAAAATATGGCAAATCATATATCATTTTATCTATTTTAGTAAATAAGATAAAACAAAACAGGGTCTTTCCAAAGTAATCTGAATTCTTTTTTGAGCAATTCGTCATTTAATTTTAAGACTGAAACTTCTTATAAACATGTGTAATAAGTTGTTCTTATTGGTATATTCTTCTTTGTCTCTCTCTTCGTTAACCTTTATCCATTTACTCTTGAATGTAAGTCTGTCTTAATCGCTTCCATATTTCTCTGTGTACGCCAATCTTATCGACTGTTTACCAGCCACTGTTCTCACGTCGTCCATAAATCTCTTTTTAGGTATCCTTGTGCTTTTCTTCGTATCTCTTGGTCTCCGCTTCAGAGTTCTCTGTATCCACCTGTTCGTGTATTAGTGGAAGTCACAAGATTTAGTAAAGAGCGCACAAAAAAATATTCTGCTGATGTTTGTCGCATTTGCTGCCCATTGACCAAAAACATGACCTTGTGACCGATTCTCCGCAATGTTTGGAGCTTGCAATCTGTTGAACTTTTGACATCTATTGCTAAACGTTAATAAAACCTATCGGTGAAAGCGCTTTAAAGCGTCCAAAATTGGCTAAATGGTTACTAAGGTTGATGGTTACTGTATTTTCGGATTGCAAAGGCATAAATTTGATTGATAAGGTAAAACCATCAGTAAACAATAGCATTTTTTGGATAAATTGAAGCAAAAACTCAGTGAGAAACGGCCCCAAAATGGGTTGTTTATCCAAGACAATGAACGGACCCACAACAGCATTATGACTAATAAAAATTCATGAGTTGCGCTTAAAGTAACTTTCTTATCTAGCTTATTCTCCTGATTTTGCTCACTTCCATTATTATTTGTTCTTAAATCTAAAGAAGTGTTCGTAAATAAAAAAATCAGCTCGAAGAAGAAATAATTGATAAAACAAAGGGCTATTAAGAATTTCGAAAATTGCTGGAATCGTTGTATTTAGCTACAAAGAGACTTGTTTGTAAAACTATTTGCTTTATTGTTCCTAATATTTTGACATATGACCTTATTTAAAATCCACGTTTACCTAAATTCCTATGGTAAAATTGGCATTATCATAACGTTTCTCAAGTTCTGAGAACGTCGCTTGTCTAAATCACCACACGTTTTTGAGAAATCAGTTATTTTTAACCCCGACCACTTGAAATAAAACCGTTTCAAAAGACCAATGTGACTATCTCTAGAGGAGCATGCAAAGGTTAAATAGACTTTGAGATGATTACATCCACGGTTTAGCGTCGAAGATGTCAATTCTCCTCGCTGATGCCATTGTACATTTCTTTTCACTGCATCGTGTAGCCGTCGGACTTAGATGCTAAATTTCGACCTGCCAATTAACGCAGTTGAACAAGGGTTAAGTGCGATTTTATTAAAAATTGATAACAATTTATGAGTTATGCCAATCAATTGTTTTTTCCTATTTTCAATCATATATATCTTATTTTACTGTTTACCATTTTTGTTAGTTAACCGGGCATTCTGAAACTTCCTATTGAATTAATTACTATTTAACTAGGAATAAGCCATAATTAAAGGTTAAAATATCTTTATTGACGTTTCAATTTGCACTTCGAAAATCGTTCTTCAAATCAAACAGTAAAATCAGAACTTATGTGTTACCATTCGGGCATTCCCTGCTGAAAGAAAACTTACTGAAAGTGAAAAGCTAGCCAATGGCGTGGACGGACTGTTCGGAAAAATAGCTGTAAAAGCATTAGGAATTGCTTGACAGTATATAATTGGTATAGCTGTATTTCAGCTTTCTACATAATAAAGTTATTTTTTTTAACCGATGGTTTGTTTCTAAGCAAAGCCTTAAATCAAATAGGCGATGTTATACTTTCAGGTGATGTATAGGAGTACCTTATAGAAACTTTTAAATAAATTTCTTTATTTAAAAGGTGTTTTTTTAAAAATTATTATTGTTGTTTATTAAAAATTAAATTCGTCAAAACTTAGAGAACCAAGCTCGATATGAGCAGCAAATATATTATATAAATTTTAAGAAATAAAAATAAATATACAAAAAAAATTTATTGTTTGTATTTTGAGAACGATTTCCGAAGTGGAAATTGAAGCGCCAATAAACGTATTTTAACCCTTAATTGTGGCATATCCCAGTTAAATAGTAATTAATTTAAAATGCCACAAGAAATTAGCTTTAGAAGTTAACAGTTAACTTAACAGTTTTCTAGAAAAAAACATATTTTTCATTTAATAGTAAAACACTTATCAGACCAATACTAAACAATTTACTTTAACACCAAAACATTTCAAATAATCCGGTTCAAAGGTATATCTAACCTTTTAGTCCTAAATTTGATACACCGTGTATTTATTTCCCTAAGAAGTTATATATGAAGTTTCAAGCCTCTATGTCTCCTATATCTGTAGTTATTTTTAACTTTGGTTACCTTTTATCTATTCACCTCAGATCTAACAATTTATCTATTCAGCTAAGATCTTCACCTCCTTGAATCAAGGGTTAAACTACGTATTCAATTGTAAGACTTTAGGGCCGTTTTTCTAACGTATATCATAAAAATAAAAAGACGAACAAATAGACAACACGATTTCAAGAAGGTCCTTAATAAGAACAAATAGGGAATGTATAACACAATTATTAAGATTATAAAGGAGACTTAACACTGTAGACACAGCTGTTGAAATAAAATTTATTTATAACAAAAAGCAACAGTGCGATTCGAAAATTAACTGTCAGCGATCTTCACAGTCGGAAAAGAAGTTTGACATGGTTGCATATTTTTATCAGCATTATTTAACATATACTCTGAAAACATCTATAGGTAAGCTTTGGACGAATCAGATGGTATTGCAGTAAATGGTAAAGTTATAAATAATATTACCGTATTACTGGCAGATAGTGCACAGGGGCTCCAAAGGATAATGAAATACCGCTAGAAATACCGCTAAATAACGTAGAAACATGTTACAAATACCGCTACCGTTACAAACTGAATTGTAAGAAGACAAAAATAATGATCATTAGTAAGAACACTAACATAAACGCCCAAATTACAGTAATCGATACACCGTTAAGAAGTGTAATAAAAATATGCTATCTGGGCTGCAATAATAAGTATACCTGTGATCGGAGCTACGAAATAAAAACTCATATTGAAAAAGTCAAATGCTCTTTTATTGGTCTTAAGAAGATTCTCTCTAACGTATTTTTAAGTATTAATGTATGCATAAGAATTATTAGATGCCACTTCTTAAGTGTTGGAGTCTTATAGAAGATGCCATAAAACGGTTAGAGGTTAGAGCCAAATATATGCCACATAACCAACATAATTATTCTCCAGAGGCTAAGAAAAAATAAAGAGATTATTAATACTATCGAGAACAGAATTTTCTGTTCTCGGTCTTACTCCGGTCACATTAAGCGTAATAATAATTACCGACTCCTACAGTTGATTCTACAAGGCAAGATTGAACGCAAGAGAGACCCTGGACGCAGACGTATATCCTGGTTAGCCAACCTTAGGAAATGGTCTGGTTTAACGTCAACTGATCTATTTTGAGCTACTGTGAATAGAATAAGATGGGTCAAAGTGGTACCCAACATCACTAGAAGCTAGGCACCCTTAGAAGAAGAAGAAGAAGAAGAAGAAAATATATAGGAAGATAGAGATGAAAGATGTAAAAAATTAAAATATAAATAAATTCATGAGAGTAAATAATGCTTAAACAAGAAAATATACAAAGTATGGTAAAGACTAAACTCAACGAGGAATGTGAAAGACTCCAAAGAGAGTTATCACCAACTACAGAAGGCTTATGAACTGAAGTCAAGAATGCTTTTACTAGCGCCGAGAAATATATAAAAGACACTAATAACAAAAGAAAATCTAAACCCTGGATGACATAAAAAATTCTGGGAATGATGGATACTCGAAGAACCTACAAAAATAAAAATAATGAAAAATATAGGGAGATACATCGTCAAATCAAGAAAGAAATAGCTACCGCAAAAGAAAATTGGATGATAGAAAACTGCCAAGAGATCGAAGAATTAATAAAGAAAGATCAAAAGATCTAGCTGGAATGACAAAACAAAGACTCCCTTGTAGATTAACAAACGACGAGAATGAAACGATATGGGAATTAAGCGATCTAAACAACGTATTGGGACATTACATAGAAGAACTATTCTCGGACACACCACTAAACAACATAATATATAAAAACCATGAAACCAGTCCTCCTATATTAAAACAAGAAGTAGAGAAAGCAATCAAAAACGCAAAAAATGGGAAAGCCCCTGGCCCCGATGACATACATACGGAAGTCATAAAGCTACTGGAAGAGAAACATTTAAATATAATCGTCAAATTATTTAATCAAATATATACAAGCGGTGAAATTCCACAAGACTGGTTAAAATCAGTCTTTATTCCCCTTCCAAAAACTAAGGGAGCAAAGAAGTGTGGTGATTTCAGACTTATTAGTTTAATGTCGCATATGTTAAAGTTATTCTTGAAAGTTATTCACCAACGCATTTATAAGAAATGTGAACAGGATATCAGTGATGAACAATTTGGCTTTCGAAATGGATTTGGGACACGGGAAGCATTAACCAGTTTTATTATACTGCTGCAAAAATGTCGAGACCAAAAAATGGATCTCTTTTTATGTTTTATTGACTATCAAAAGACCTTCGACAAAGTAAAACATGATAAGCTGATGGATTGCCTTCCCAAAAAGGGACTAGACGAGAACGATTTTAAAATTATCCAAACGCTGTATTTTAACCAAACTGCAGCAGTTAGAACTGAAGCCGGTGACACAGAAATATTCAATATCAAGCGAGGTGGACGACAGCGGTGTGTATTGTCACCACTACTTTTCAATATATATTCGAAAGAAATCTTTGCACGAGCACTAGGGCAATCAAGAGAAGGTGTTAGAATTAACTGCAGAGTTCTAAATAATGTACGATACGCCGACGACACGGTCCTAATTGCAGAAAGCGCACAAGATCTCCAGACACTCTTAGATCGCGTCAGATCGATCGGAGAACAATACGGCCTCAGCATTAACGTCAAGAAAACAAAAACAATGATTGTCTCCAAAACATCCATCCATCCACCCATGGCTTTAAACGTGAATGGTAACATTATCGAAAATGTCGAGAAATTTCGATATCTAGGGTGCTGGATAACGAAAGATATAGATCCAGACATAGAAGTAAAATCGCGAATTGAACAAGCAAGAAATGTCTTTTTAAAATTGAAACAAATGTTTACGTCCCAAACACTCAATCTCAAAATCCGATACCGAATGCTGAAATGTTACGTTTACAACACCTTACTATATGGAATGGAGGCCTGGACCTTCAAAATCAACTCACTCAGGCGTTTGGAAAGTTTTGAAATGTGGTTATTTCGAAGGATGCTGAAAGTCCCCTGGACAGCGCATATGAGCAACGAGCAGGTCCTACACAAGATGCGTACCGACAGAGAACTCTTAAAAATAATGAAAACACGGAAAACCTCATATTTGGGACACATATACAGAAATGAGAAATACCAGCTACTGCAGCTTCTTATAGAGGGGAAGGTAGAAGGAAAACGTGGTCCTGGTAGACGGCAGGCGTCCTGGTTGAAGAACATTCGTGAGTGGACTGGTTTGGATTCTCAATCTTTAATAAGAAAAGCCAGGGACAGAAATGATTTTGCTGAGGTTATCGCCAACCTTCATTGAAAACGGCACCCAAAGAAGAAGAAATAATGCGGAGATATATATTAACAGCAAACGACTCAAATCGTATGGCAATGTTCAGGGATTAATGAGATGTATCTAAATTAATATCTAAAGAGATCCTGATAACCTAGAGTACACAAAAAAAGGAGACGACCAAGAAAAATTCAGTCAAAAAACGAGAAACTGATTTAGAAGATTATTTCATATACATAAAACAGCAGCGATTGGATATCTGACGACGAAGTAAAAGTTATAAAATTAAACAAAAAGAGATGAAAGAAAACAGGAAATTTATTTATTACAAGAATAAAAGAACTTCCCTTGTCCCCTTATTATAATAATAATAATATATGAAATATTTCAGATTATTTCAATTAGTCTTTAATCTTTATACTTTTGTAAAGTTAACGAAAAAAGAATCTTATAAATTATTTATAAAGTAGAAGACTTTAAAAGAAAAAATATATATCGTTTGGATTAATTTTATCAAAATTTTAACAGAAAAATATATCAATCTATTTTTACTTACGTATTGAAACATTTTTGATTGTTGGATGATTTGTGATATACCTTATCAATTGAATTCAGCTTTTTATATTTCTTCTTACGTGGTTGCAATCCCACCTTACTTAGTGTACATTTTAGGTCAATTTGGCAATTTCGTTAGTAACCAAAATTAATATGCAGACAAGCATTTGGTTTGACGATCTGTTTGTAATCACTTAGTTACTATGCATTTGAACATATTTTGGTTAATTAAAGGTCACGTGCAGAAAATTGTGTCGTTCTCTCATTTGAAAATTATTTTTCCAAAATGGAAATATTTTTTTGTACAAATATTTTAAAAAGCGTCTTTTAGTAAAACATTGATCGTTATTAATGTGGTAAATGATGTAAGAGTTTTCAGTTTTTATTAATTTCCATACAAATTAGTGTACAATGTACTAATTGTGCATTATAGTTGATCAAGGATTGTATCACTTGAGAAAAACTCAAACTTTCTCAATAACATTCTTTATTCATATAGGACATGACCCTTTTTTGATTATTTTATATTAAAGCATTCTACTGTTGTACTTTTGCAAACTCTGAACAAAATACCATTTGCATACTCTTGAGCTCCATGCTGGTGAAGGTCACGTATGCAATAGATTAAGAGTAGTCACCAGAAGGAAATTAGTAATGGTCACAAACGAATTAACCTTATCTATATATGCTGAATAAGCCCAATACTTACTTTTCGTGTCCGGAACACCAAAAGCTTTCAATTTTGTATTTCCAATGGTTGGCCACATAAATGGTCCTGTCATTCGCTAAAAATCAGTCTTCTTCTGTGTAGGTCTCTCTCATCTATGTGCATGATAGTCGATGGTGACTATTCTGAACCGCGCCATAATCACAGGTATCGTCCTCCTGATATCCCCATATCTTCAGGTTACTAACACAACGTGAAACGCCAGTTCTTACTCTGTTTAGCGCTTTCCATGTGGAATACGGCAAATTATATCCAGGGGCCATTTCCTCAGAGTGGGCAAAACGTGTTATAGCTGACGCTTGCCATAGGTATATTCGACACATCTTTGGCTCTTCGGGAAAGGATCGTGATTTTTTCAGAAAGCTTTTCCGAAATCTTAGTCCTCTTAGCTGAACTTGGTGGTCATACAAGGTGTATCTTCGATCTGTCTCCTGCTTCTTTCGTTCTATCTATGACGTAACCTGTTTTCTAATAGCAGGTGGAGAGATTCCAACTATAGAGTAAACCTCTTCGATAGGTGCGGTTTCAGGAAACCAGATATTATACCAACCGTTTCATTTTTCACCAGAAAAATGTAATGCTAAGGCATAAGTACGGAGAGTGTGTGGTTGTGCTCCCCAGTTTGTGTTTGTTAGTTTGCGGATGATATTATTTCTGGCACTTACTCTTTTATTGACATCTTGACAGTGAGAGTTCAACAGAGTTCTATGCAGACGTATGCCTAGGAATTTTGACGTCTCATTCTGTTCCAACAGCTGACCAAGCCATTAAACCTCCAGTGCCCTTCGGGCATGCTTGTTTGTAAGGTGGAAAGCACACACCTGGGTTTTTATAGAATTGGTTTTAGATGGTTTTCGGCATAGTATAGTGCTAAGTCTTCTAGGGCATCTGTCAGTTTTACTTCGACTTCATTGAAGGACTATATTTTTTGGTAGTAGCAATGCAACATGTCTTGGCCGGAACAGCGATAAATGTAAACGTATGGTATTTAGCCAAAAGTGAGAATGATCCAGATTATTCACCTGGGCCGTCCAATGAATTACTCTACTAGTAGAGTACTCTCTAGTAGTAGAGAGTACTCTGAATACTACTCTATTTGTTGTCATTCGGCTTGTATGACCGTTTCATTCTACTCCATTTCGTTCCATTTCTTACCTTCTATATGTCATTATTGGTCTGATGAATGTTTTGTAAATTATGCCATTCCTTCATTTTCCGATATTTTTATTTTTTCATATTGTTTCATTCAGGCAGCAAGCGGCACTGTTTACTCTAGTCACTTGATTTTCTACTTCAGTTTTGAGCCTGCCGTAACTAGATAATGTGATGTCTAGATATTTAAACTCCATCACTTGTTCTATTATCTGACCTTCCAGCTCCAATTTATATCTTAGTAAATTTGCTGTTGTAAGCATGCATTTTGTCTTTTTTGGAGAAATTAACAGTTTTCTGGCGGTTATATTAAATTGGTGCAGCATACGTTGTAAATCGTCTTAACTTGAGAGACTAGTATTGCGTCGTCTGCATAGCAGATTAATTTAAGTTGTTTTTCTCCCATTTCGTATCCTTTTTTAGTTCTTACTTTTTTATTATTTCATCCATAATCAGGTTGAATAATAGAGGAGTCAGGTAATCTCTCTGTCTTATCCCATTAACAGCTTCAATAGGGTCGGTTAGTTCTTCTACTTTTACTTTTATTGTGTTTTTTGGTAGATATTTTCGATCGATTTGATTATTCCTGGATGTATCTCCCATGCGTACAGTAAGTGGATAACGTCTTTTAGTTTAACCCGTTCAAATGCTTTCTTAAGGTCCACGAAACATAGATATGCCGGTTTGTTGTATTCTAATGATTTCTCTTGCACTTGCCTCATAGAGATAGGGTGCATGATCTTCCCGATCTAAAACCTTGTTGTTCTTCTGCTAGTGTAATAATTTCATTCAGTTTATTTGTTATCACATTAATTGTTAATTTTAGTGTTGGGTTTAATAAATTAATTCCTTTGTAATTCTCCGGGTCCGATTTGTCTTCCTGTTTAAAGGGAGGTATTAGGATGCTTGATATCCATTCTTGAGGAATTCTGTTTTTTTCTGTATTATTTTATAAAACGTAGTATAATAAAATTAAAAAAGTTCAGTTAATTAGAATTTCAGTTTCATTTAGGTCAGTTTCAGTTTCATTTAGGTCAGTTTCAGTTTCATTTAGGTCAATTTCAGTAAGTAATAAAAAAAAAACGGGCTTCATATACACTAAGCTAAATTGTTCTAAGTGACAATATAATCAAAAATCGACTAATCCAAAGAGAATAAAAGAAAATTATCACCAGTAGTTAAATTCTATTCTCCAACATAATATATAAAATAAAACATAAAGACTTTCTTAAATTACCAAGCGTTATACAATGAAAAGAAACAAAAACTTGATTTTCTCAAAACGTAAATTTTGCAGATAGGACGTTTCATGTTAGGACGGCAGTATCACAGAATACTAATCACATAGTGTTCTGTGGCAGTATACTCCAGTTGTCTGAGACGAAAATACCACTAAACCTCTAAAAACCAGACAAACAAGCTAAATTTTGCCGAGAATATTAATTTTGGGACTCCAAAAAGATGCAAAAAAGTTTACTACTTTTAGTCCCGGGCTTTCACCTAAAACCCCCTCGTAGGACGATAAAAACCCAAAAAGATCTATTTACCAAGAATTTTAACGCCGTAGAAAAAAATGTTTTAAATAAAAAATGTACCTGAGATAATTTTAAACAAAAATATTTCTAAGCATTTTTTGTGTAGAATTAACCGTTCTCTTAGAAACAACGCAACGTAAAAATATCGATATATTTTGATTTTAGTGTCCTATCAACAAAAATCAAGATGCATTTTAAAGGTAAATAGTTCAGCTTTCGTATGCAGTTTTTGATTTTCGCCGCAAATAAGCTCAAAGTTTATAAGATGTTAAATAAACGTGGCACGATTTTCCATTTTTTTGGTTCTGATGAGATCAATACAATCTATCCCTTTTATTGACTGGTCACTATGAAGTTTCGATTCTTCTTCTTCTTCAAGTGCCGTCTTCGTTCCGAAGTTTGGCTATCATCAAAGCTATGCGTATTTTTGATGCTGCAGATCTAAACAGTTGGTAATTGGTGCAATTGTATCATTCTCTCAAGTTTTTCAACCATGAATGCCTTCTTCTTCCTATAGATCTCTTTCCCATTATCTTTCCCTGTATAATCAATTGCAGCAACTGGTATTTATCTCCCCTCATAACATGTCCCAAATATTGTGGTTTGCGCTTTTTAACAGTAAGTATCAGCTCTTTCTCTTTCCGCACTCTCCGCAAAACCTCCACATTTGTTACTTTCTCTGTCCAGGGTATTCTTAATATTCTACGATACATCCACAACTCAAATGCTTCTATCTTTTTGGTATCGATCTTTTTCAATGTCCATGTTTCCATCCCGTAGAGGAGAACTGACATAACGTAACATCTCAAAAGGCGAATTTTAAGTTTTAGACTTAGATCTCTTCCGCAGAACACCTTTTTCAATTTAGTAAATGTGGCTCTAGCTTTCTCTATTCTGGTTCTGATGTCTTCAGAGCAATCATAATTTTCGTTGATAAATTAATAAGTTTCGATTACTAGAGCCTAACCTTCAAAATTCATATCATGAAATTTTAGTTTTGAGTTTTGGCAAAAAATATGAGGTATTTGAAATATGCTTGTAAAAAACTGGATTTAAACTTTCACATAACAAACGCTCTAAAACAATTAAAACTTTTTTTTCAAATACACTGGTACGTATTTTAAAAGAACCAAATTTCTGCTATAAACTGCACCCAAAACCGTCTTCTTGGAGGCATTTCCCATGACGTACGATCGTTTGTAATGTAAAACATTAAATTTTGCGTTTATTATTCATATTTCAAATGCCTCATATTTGTTGCCACAAATCAAAATTGAAATATTATGTCATAGGTTTGAACGATTGATTTCTAAAAAGGGAAATTTTACTACGACTGATCAATGAAAGTGATCAATTCTAGTGATCTCATGAATATTGTAAAAAATGGTAAAAATCGCGCCGCGTTTATTTATTTAACACCTTTATAAAAACTAAGTTGATTCGTGGCAAAATACAAAAACTGCATACGAAAGTACTTTTTACCTTTAAAACGCATTTTGATTTTTGTCGATAGGACACTTGGATAAAAAAATATCGAATTTGTACCGTCAAAATCGACGGTCACTTCAAGCGGTGTTTCTGAGAGAACGGATCATTCTACACAAAAATTATCTTAGCTACATTTTTTATGTAAAATATTTTTTTACGGCGTACAGATTTTTGGGAAATCGATTTTTTTGCGTTTTTACCCCCTTTCTAAAAGCGGGGTTCTAGGGAGAAGCCCGGGGGTAGAAGTGGTAAGCTTTTTTGCATCTTTTTGGGGATTCCAAAATTAATATTCTCGGCAAGATTTAGCTTGTTCATATAACTTTTAAGAGCCAACTCATTGCCGACCGAACTATTAGGACATAATCAATTTGGTTTCTAATTTTGCATTGTTCATTGTCATGCGGATATTTCCCTGTATGTAACCGTTTGGGGGTAGATCATTCTTCTTCTTCTTCTAGTTTCATGACCGTTATCGATCGTTGGATATAATGTTGGCTGCCATATTCGCTATCGTGACTTTATTGACAGCAGCTCTAAATAACGATGTAGTTGATTTTCCATACCATTGCCTTAGATTTTTCAGCCATGATGTTCTTACTCTACCAGGATCACGATTACCTTGGATCTTTCCCTGAATGATCAGATGTAAAAAATCATATTTTTCAGGGTGTCTCATAATGTGACCGAAGTATTCCAGCTTGCGTTTCTTCATTATATTGATCAGTTGTGTTGTTTGGTTGAGCCGTCTAAGGACCTTCTCATTTCTAACTCTGTCGACCCAGCTTATTTTCAGTAGTCGTCTGTATACCTACATCTCAAAGGCTGTCAAGCGTTTAAGGATAGCTTCAGTTAGAGTCCACGCTTCCACTCCATAACGCAGGACAGGAAAGATGTAGCAAGATGTCATTCGAACTCTAACGTCGATGCTAAGATCGTGACTGCAAAGTACGTTTTTCATTTTTACAAAGGCAGCTCGAGCTTGTTCTATTTTAATTTCTGCGGTTGTATCCCAGCTATCATTAATATTACTGCAGAGATACACGAGTTTCTCTACTCTGTCCAGTGTGGCATCTCCAATTTTTATACCGTCATCCTGTATCTTATTTTGTTTGCTATCATATATTTAGTTTTCTTAACGTTAAGTTTTAATCCATACTGATCACAAGTCTGTTTTATTTTGTTCATGAATTTTGAAGGTCTTCTTCGCAATTAGCAAGCACTAAGGTATCGGTTATAGTTTTCTTAACGTTAAGTTTTAATCCATACTGATCACAAGTCTGTTTTATTTTGTTCATGAATTTTGAAGGTCTTCTTCGCAATTAGCAAGCACTAAGGTATCGGTATATCTAATATTGTTTACGGTTACTCCATTCACAATAATACCTTCGGTTGTCTCCATTAAGGCTTCCTTAAATATTTCCTCCGAATATAAGTTAAAAAGTAAAGGCGACAATATGCAGCCTTGTCTCACTCCTCTTTTGATATTTATTTCATCCGACAGTTCTTGTTCAACCTTTATTGTTCTTGCATCAAGTGGCAAGAAGCCACTTGATGCCAGTATAGATTTGTAATTATTCATAGATCTTTATCGTCCAATCCAGCTGTTTTCAATATTTCTAGCATTTTGTTATGTCTATTGACTTTGTCAAAAGCCTGTTTAAATCGATTGCACAAATGTACACATTTTGATTTATATCTCTGCATCTCTGTACTAGCACCTGTATACTAAGCAAGGCTTCTCTTGTACCCAAGCCACTCCTAAACCCAAATTGAGTATTGCTAATTCTGTCCTATCAGTAGATCAAAAAATCAATAACTTGAGATATGCTGATGACACTTTAATAATCGCGGCAAATCAGGAAGAAATGGAAGACATAATTAGATGTTTGGAGGAAAAAAACAAAACATATGTTTTATTTCTTATCTGTTTCCTTTGACACAATTATTGCTACACCATTTTTGTGTTTTGAGCTGTCTTCTCCTCATGATCATAGTATGTATATTTTATTACAGTTCTTCTTCCTGACAGAATTGTACAAATATCAAAATCTATGAATATTTTATATAGAAATATATAATATTCCTTTTTTTTTAATTAATTATTAACTTTCTATAGAAAAAATTTATAACATCTAAATTTTTAATAATGCTTTCTTAAGCAACATTTTTCTGCCATTTAAAATATTAACCAGACTGTTTAAAAATCTACTGGACTTAATATAAATAAAAGAATTTTTGTGAAGCAACCATGTTTCAGTTTAAATCACTAGTAAAAACAAACATGACGTATGTATAAAAAACGAAAAAAATTACAAAAAAGGCAAGAATAAAAATAGAATTACGATAGTTTTCAGTTACGATAGTTAACATTTTTCAAAGAAGAAAACGTTATTTAGTAAAGAGAAAATAAAACGAATACATAGGTAGAATAATACTAAATCGTTGAAATAATCGTATAACCTAAAATAACTAAACTAAAAAACTAGAAATAAGAAAGCTGTTATGTTTTAAAACTTTTAAGATAAAAAAAAACAATAATTGTAATTTATTTTAATTTACTTCAAGCACAGATAACAAATTAATATGGTTTATAAATAAGCAGGAGCAGCTAGGTAAGGAGCAGCCACCCTATAGCTGGCTAACAGAGGAGCAGCAGGAGCTGCTAAGTAAGGCGCTGCTGCTACTGGAGCGGCTGCTACAAGAGGAGCTACTGGAGCGACTAAGGCGTTGTACTGACGGGCGAAGACTTGTGAACTTTGAGCGGTAACGACCGCTGGAGCTATAGCTGGGGCAACTGCTAGAGGAGCTGCAAAGACGCTTGGGTCGGCCTTTGGAGCTGGGTCAGCCAGAACGGCTGAGGCAAGAGCTAAGATAACGATCTGTAATAAAAAAAGCGTATTAAACATAAATAGTTATATTTAAGAGAAAATGCAGACTTTGGTTTCTTATAAAAGTCACAACCATAGCCTCTTTTTCTTATTTATTAAATTTGATTGTTTTTTGTCGGTTGGTTTATATCCGGTTTATATCTTCTATTTCTCATCTTATTCATTCGCTTTTTAAGTAATAATTTACCCAAATCCACCACAATAAGTTTTAAAATCATTTTATAATTTTTACTAAAAAGTATATGTTCCAAATATTAAAATTTAAGTTTTAAATGAATAGATGTTTCTGAAATATATTTATGTGGACTTATAATTTAACTTAAAAACCTATAAAATAAACTATATGACATTCATATACAAATAATTAAGAGAGCTAATTTACTGAGCGGATAAATCGAGATTGAAATTCAAAAATGCATGGCCTGTACGCGTTATACGTCCTGGAAAATAAATTGAAAAATGTTTTTCGGTAACAAAAAGTTTGCAGACTCACATTTTTACTACAAAATTCATTTTATCTTCTAACAAAAAATTAAGACACTATGCTCGTGGTTTTTTATTTATGCAGATCTGGTTTCATAGTTTTTAAATTCAAGCTATATCATTTGAGGGTAATCATAAGATTAGAATTGGGGAGCATACATTTTAACAGTCTGAGAGAGATTTCGAGATAGTAGAAAAAAGTGAGAGTCTATTACGAAAAACTACTAAAAAGAAAAAAATCCAATGGTAAAAATCCAATCAATGATGAGATAAAATGATATTGTGTCAACAAATAAAGTGAATATTTCTTAATTTAAATTTGCTTTATCCATAAACCCTTTTTTAAAGGAGGTATCTAAAAAAATAGATAAAAAAGAAAGCAGCTCATAAGTTTAGTTTACAAATAAAGGATAATAAAACTTACATGTTATCTGATTAACAATTTAACATACATTAGGGAAATGTACCGATAGAAAGGGTTGAATACAAATACCTGGAAGCCTGTATTTCAGAAATAATGATCAAACAATAGAAGTAAGGGCAGGATAAAAATAGCAATAAATGAGTTTTGAGACTAAGAGCTCTGAGAGAGCTCTGATTATCTAAAAAAAATGGACAACAGACCAGGGAACAGCCAGGAGAAGACACTCAAAAATTTGGAGAAGTGGTCCGGGTTCACATCGGTCAAACTAGTCGAAGTGCCCTAAGCAATATCAAAATTGCTATGTTAACAGCCAACAGTCGCAGCGAACAAGGCACTTAAAGAAGAAAACGCAAATCAACACAAATATTATAGAAAAATCAAAATCCAAATATAAATAATTGGGTGACCATTGTGAGATCTTGGCGTCTAACTTAAAAACGAAACGTAAGATATATTGGAAATAAGCAACGGGTATATTGTGTACACACATGTAGAATAAAGACACCAAAAATAGCCGTCAAAGAAAATTGTGATTTTTAATAAAATTTTAAACAAAAACCTGTAGGTATAACAGTATTCCATTGCGTTTATTTAAAAATATTTGTATTTTTAATAAAGAACGACAACATAAGTAATTTAAAAAGTTTTTACTTACGTAGTGGAACATTTTTGATTGTTGGATGCTTTCTGACATACTTAATCATGTAATTTCAGTTTTTTATATACTTCTTTACATGGGTACAGTCCCACCTTGCTAAAAAGTGAATATTTTGGGTTAATTTTGCAATTTTCATTAGTAATCAACATTGATATGCAGACAAGCGTTTGATTTGACGATTCATTTGTAATTGTTCAGTACAACCTTGTATTAAATGTTTTTACAATTAGATATTTGATTAAATAAATATGATACAAAAGCATATTATTTCATAAGTTTTATATTTTCTTGTTCAAACTAACCCCTGTCTGGAAAACACTATATATCACTAAAAATTAGATTATTTATTAAAACATATGTAGCTTATTTCTGATTTTTACCGAATGGTAGCTCTCTCTAGTTCCATTCCTCCTGTAGACTACTGGGCGCTTATCCGTTGCTTGGCCAAAAGTGTAAGATTGCTGACTGGCCGGGTCAGCCCATCTTCTTTCTTGTTTATTCTCCGGATAATCTGTGTACTAGTTTCTTCCATTCTCTTCTATTTCTTGCTTTTTTTAAATTTCCCCCATCTTATTCCAATTTTTTCGTGTTCTCTCGTTGCAGTTCTTTTCCAACTGTTGTTTGGTCTTCCTCTCTTTCTTTTCCCCTCTGGTTGATATTTATGTGCTTGTCTGGATATGTTGCTTTCATCTTTCCTTCAAGTATAGTCAATCCATTTCCATTTTTTTCCTTGACTGTGCTACATATGCTGACTTCTATAGAGCCTTGTATAAAAAACTCGTATAAGGCTGTATAGAACACTAATAGTCCCCGTTCTCACATATGGATCAGAGGCATGGATGCTAACTAAAACAGATAAATCCGCTCTATCGATTTTTGAAAGAAAGGTGCTACGCAAGATATTCGCAGCAGTCTGTGAGAACGGAATATGGAGGCGTAGATATAACTCTGAACTGCAGAATATCTACAAGCATACGTTTGGTGGTCAAGATATTACCACTATAATTAAACGAAACTGCCTGCAGTGGGCAGGACATGTAGCCCGGGCCCCTGAATCGAACATGATCAAAAAGATTCTAACAGCGCAACCCGTGGGAATGAGAAGACGAGGTAGACCAAAGCTGAGGTGGATGGACGGGGTAACACAAGATGCCGAGAAAATCGGAGTCGGCAACTGGAAAATGTAAGCAAGGAACAGAACAGAATAGCGTAGAAAGCTTGACAAGGTAGAGGCTCTCTAAAGGCTGTAGTACCAGGATGATGATGATGATGTAGTACATATACTAGTTTGCTTTGTTTTTTCCCATAGTTTTGCATTAGTTATTTGGTTGGGCCAGTATATTTTCAGAATTTTTCTTAATGATTTGTTTACAAAAGTCTGCAGTTTTTAGTTGTGATTTTGTCCTTTTTCAATTTTTCTGCTCAGTAAACTAATATAATGTTTGTAATTTTATAATGCTATTATAAAACAATAATACGCCCAGTGCTCACATACGGATCGGAAACATGGACAATGACGACCCGAGATGAAGAGTTACTACGAGTCTTTGAAAGAAAAGTATTGAGGACCATATTTGGCGGAGTCAACGAACAGGGTCTGTGGAGAAGGCGATATAACTTTGAACTCTATAGACTTTTTGGTGATGCAGGTATTGTGAAGACCATCAAAATAAACCGCCTAAGGTGGGTGGGCCACGTTATGCCGATGGATGAGAATGATCCCACTAAAATAACTATGCTAAACACGCCAGTCGGAAGAAGAAGAAGGGGGCGACCTACACTCAGATATCTGGACGATGTACAGGAAGATCTGAGGGAGATTGGAGTGAGGGGCTGGAGAAGACAGACACTCGATAGGGAAGGATGAAAGAATGTTTTGAAGCAGGCCAAGGCTCACGAAGGGCTGTAGCGCCAACTGATGATGATGAAACTAATATAATTTTGATGCAACTATTAAAGATTGGAATTTTCGTTGTTTCTGATATTTCGTTTGTTTGTCAAATTTTATTTAAAGCGTTGAATGCATGTTGAGCCTTTATTATTCTCGTCTGTATATCGTTTTTACACCCTCCGTTTCTTTCCATGACTCTGCGTAATCATTTTGACGGTGCAAATGTAATCAATGATGGAGCGTTTGACACGGAAGCCTGCTTGGTAACTTCTCAGGTTTTTATCTAGTTCTGGCTTCAATATTTCCAATATGATTCTGGTCAACACTTTGGTTGTGGCGCTTAATAATTGTATTACACTCTAAGTATTGCATCTACCCAGGTCACCTTTTTAGGCATTTTAATTATCAATCCCTCTTTCCGCTCTTGTGGTAATACTTCATCAGTCAATATCTTGTTCAAAAGGTTAAATATCATATCTATTTTCCTGTAGCTTTTCCATTTTTTCATAGTTTTAGTGTATTTGCAATTGCTTTCCTTGTAATTTTTCCAATATTCACTTCTAAATCTAGCAATTTTCTTCCATATTTGTATTATTTCTTTTTTACTTTTTATTCTAATTCCTTATTTATCCTTAATTTCTCGTATTTTTCTTTATGCTTCTCCTATTAGGTCTCGTTTGATTGTATATTGTGTTCGTAGGTCGTTTTCTTGCGTTGCTTTCTCTGATAAATTTAACATATTATTTATCTTTTTTGGTTTGTTTTTTTTAATTCCGCGTTTTTTGTCTTATATTTCCTTTCATGTGACCTCTCTTCTTCCGATCCTTTCTTTTGTAGGATTTCTTCTTTTATTTTTTGCCTTTCTTCTATCAATTCTACATCTTTAGATATAGATTTTTTATTTTCTCTACTTTTTAATCCGATTGCTTAATTCGCTGTATTTATCATTACTTCTTTAAAATGCTTCCATGTTTCTTCGACTCACTCTCCAGTTTGTTGTGATAAAGTTCGGTTAATTACCAGTTCCTCAGCGAATGTATTTCTTATACTTTCTTGTTTTAGAGCACCAACGTCGGATATGTTTCTTCTGGTGGTTTTTTTCATGTTATCTCTGGTTAATTGCATTCATAGTATCGCTCTGACTAACATGTGGTCTAACACCACATCAGCACCTCTCTGACATCTTGCAGCCAGCTTCTCCATTTATATTCAATTGTTATGTGGTATATTTGGTTATTGTGCCTCTTTCTAGTGATCTCCATGTTTTCTTATATATCTGCTAATGTTTAAAGACGCTTCCACCTATTACAAGTTTATTTTATTACTTGCAAAATTCGATTAAACGATTTCCATTGTCGTTCCTTTTCTATTCCCTCTTATATTCCCTCCTTTCCCATTACCTGTTCATGTCCTGTATTATCATTGCCTCTAGCCGTAAAGTCTCCAATTATTATTTTTATTAAACTAAATTCTGTTATTTTTTCGAGTTTCCCTGTGTTTCTTTTAACTGGTTCCTGTATTTTTTCCATTTGTATGTTTTTTGTATAGAGGAGAGGATGATGAGCAAGAGGAAGAGAGATCCAGAAAAAATAAAAAACTAACAAGAACCCCTCAGAAGACAGGAGGAAAAAAAGATGGAGCAAAACTTGATAAATTGCTAGAAATGATGAGCAACCTAACCAGCGACATTAGACAAATAAAAGAAGACCAAAAGGAATACAAGGAGGTAGTTGAACATCTAATAAGGGAAAACAAGGAACTAAACAATGATAATAAAATTCTAAAAGAGAAAAACATACAGATTAAGAAAGAATTAAGGGAAATACGAGACAACATAGAAATTATAGAAAAACAGAGAAGGCGAAATAATGTGGTCATGAACGGGCTAGCAATTGAAACGCAGGATCAGCTGGTATTGAAGGAAACAATTGGCAATTTTATAAAATATCACCTTGCAGTAGAAGCCAAAATAAAGACGGCCCACAAACTAGGTACAATAACGTGCCTAATAGAAATGGAGAACCAACAAGAAAAGATAAAAGTTATGAAGAATAAAGTAAAGTTAAAGGACGTCAAAAAGGAAAAGGTATACATCAACTATGACACAACGATGAGAGAGAGAGAAATTCAAAAAATAATAAGAAAAATTGCACAAGAGGAAAGAAACAAAGGAAACGAAGTCAAAATAGGAGCAAGGAAAATGATGATAAATGGTGTTGAATGGAAGTGGAATAGCAAGGAAGATAAAATGGAAATAACAAACTCAAAAAACTAGAAAACGGCTATGATAGTAAAAATACGAAGACGAACAACACAAGGAACAAGGTCATGAATACCGGTAACATTGTCATAGGAAAGGGTGATTTAAAGATAAAAAAAACGCAAAAAAGGCAATAGAAACACATATCCAAAAGATCACTTAATGGTAGGAACGTGGAACGTAAGAGGTACTTTTGGGGAAGGAAAACTGAAACACTTAACTAAAGAAATTGAAAAGTTTAAATTTGACGTAGTGGCACTGCAAGAAACAAAGCAACTGGGTCAGGAAATGCTGGAAATTGAAAATAGCTTATTTTTTAATAGTGGAGGCAGAAACAGAATATTAGGCACAGGATTTATGGTAAATAAAGCGTTAAAAGCATCAATTGTTGAGTTTAAACCAATATCTGATCGTCTATGTTGTCTAAGAATAAGAGGAAAATATCAAAAAATCACATTCATTAACATTCACTCACCGTCAGAAGAAAAAGATATTTAAGTAAAAGAGGATTTCTACTGTGAAGTTAATAGGGTATTCCAAGATATGACATTAAAGTAGTACTGGGAGACGCAAATACAAAGATAGGAAAAGAAGAAATATATAAAACAACTATAGGAAAATTTAGCAAACACGAGGAAAGTAATGAGAACGGGCAGTTTCTGATAGATTTTACCAAAGAAAAAAATATGCTAGTAATGAGTACATATTTCGAGAGGAAAACCATCTACAAAGCAACATGGCAATCCCCAGATGGAAAAACATTAAATCAAATTGACCATGTACTAATAGAGAGAGAAGACCGAAAATGTATAAAGAACGTGCGAACATACAGAGGACCAGACGCTGACTCGGATCACTTCATGTTAGGAATTAAAATAGCCCAACTGATACCAGAAGAAAAAAATCGCAAAAGAAAAAATAAGAACACAAATAAACCAGTGCGGCTTGTAACGCAAGAAGAACAAGAAATGTATAGAAAAGGTATCGATAGAAAATTAAATGAAATACACCTAGAAGGGCACATAGACAAGGACTGGGACAAAATTCAGCAGATTATCAGTAACACAGCTAAAGAATGCAATAAAAATATAACTAAAAAGAAAAAGGATTGGTTTGACGAAGAATGCCAGAAGGAAATTGAAGAAAGAAGTAAACTAAGGATGGATATGGTCAAAAGTGATACAGAAGAAACAAGAAACAGATATGAAAAGCAAAGAAAAATCGTAAAAAAAGTTTTGAGAATGAAAAGGAGAAAGTACATGGAAAATCAGCTGAAAGAAATAGAAGAAAATTACAAAAATCGAGAAATTAGAAATTTATATCAGGGAGTAAAAAATGAAAAAAGAGGATACCAACAGAAAACAATATTTTACAAAGATAAAGAGGGAGACGCCATAAGTGGAGAAAATGAAATAGCCGCTAGATGGAAAGAATACTTCGATGAATTGCTAAATGACGAAAACAGGATAGAACAGCCACAGCCTATAAGAACGGAGAAACATAGGAACCAAATAAATGAGATAGAAGAAATACCCCTTACCAGAAACGAGATAAAGGAAATAATAAAGAAATTAAAAAATAACAAGAGTCCAGGAAGTGATAATATAACTGCAGAGATGTTCAAATATGGAGCGAAAACGCTAGAGGAGCAAATGTTCAAATTAATAAAGGAGATTTGGATTAAAGAACAACTATCACAAGAATGGACAGATGCAATTATATGCCCACTTTATAAGAAAGGCGATAGGACAGATTGTCAAAATTACAGGGGGATATCACTATTAAATACTGCATACAAAATTCTTGCAGCGTGTATAAAGGACAAATTTGCAGGAGTGATAGAAAACATTGTCGGCGTGTACCAATGTGGCTTCAGACCTGGTAGAATTACAACAGATCAGATATTTACGCTCAGAGAATTGCAAGCGAAAAGTTACCAACACAATCTGCCGACAAGGGTCCTCTTAATTGATTTCAAACAGCCGTACGATAGAATAAAACGGAACCAACTGAGCAAAGCACTAGAAGAATTGGGTATCAGTAGAAAACTTATAAGAATGATACAAATAACGCTGTCCAAGACTGAGAGCAGAGTTAAAATAAATAATATAATGTCGGAAAAATTTGAAGTCAGTGAAGGAGTAGGGCAAGGAAAACCACTATCATCCATACTATTCAGCTTGTTTTTGGAGAAGATCATACGAGATGCAAATGTCAACAGAGAGGGATTGTTATACCAAAGAAAGCACCAATGTCTAGCCTTTGCAGACGATGCAGTAATACTGGCACGAAGCAAATGGGAGCTACAAGAAGTAGTAAAGAGGCTAGATAGAGAGGCAAAGAAAATAGGCTTAGCCATCAACGAAAGTAAGACAAAATACATGGAATGGATAGATGACAGTGAACAAAAAGGAGGAAATCTAAAAATAGAAGTAGAGGATGAAAAAGCATATATATTTGAAGCAGTGGAAAGATTTACATACCTGAAGTCGATGTTCACATGCAAACCAAATATTAGAGATGCGTGTACTCATTAAACAGGCTATTAAAAAGTAAACAGATATCTAGGAATGCCAAAATAAGGATTTACAAAACAGTTATTCAACCAGTGGTAACCTACGCCAGTGAAGTGTGGACACTGAACAAAGGCGAAACAGGTATGCTCGAAATATGGGAAAGGAAGGTTTTGAGAAAGATATTTGGAGGCAAGATAGTAGACAATACATGGAAAAGAAGAACAAATAAAGAATTAGAAGATATGTACAAGAATCCTAGTATAGTGGGAGTAGTAAAGGCTCAGAGACTCAGGTAACTAGGGCACATAGAAAGAATGACAAATTCTCAAGTACCAAAAATGATTCTGATGCATACAATGGGTACAAAAAAAAGGAGAGAAAGGCCGAGAAGTAGATGGAAGCAAGAAGTAGATAAAGGCCTAGAAACACTGGGAATAGAAAGATGGAAGGACAAGGCTACTAATAGGAAGAAATGGAAAACAATAACAGCTCAAGCCATGGGCCTACTAGGCTCATAGTGCTATTATTTATATATATATATATATAATATATATATATATATATATATATATATATATATGTTTTTCCATATATTATTAATGTATTATATTTGATTTTATCATTTTTACCTTTATTTATTTCTTCGTTGGCGACTTGTCCCTTTTTTGTTCTGTATTTATAGTTATTCTTTTGTTATGTCATTATTTAAATACACTTTGTAGTCTTTTATGCATTTTATTTTAGCTTTGTTTTCCATAATCTTTCCTTTTTTAAGTTTGTTCTGCAGTTTGATATGTTTTTTCCCAATTTAATTGCTCCTTCTATTTACATATTGATGTTCATTTCTTTGTACATGAAGTTCCCTACAGCTTGTTTCAGTACATTTCTATTTCTACTTTATTATTATTTTGATTGTTTTTTATTAATTATCCGTTAATTTCGTGTTAGGGGCAGCATTTTGTATTTACTAAGTTTTGTATATACTAAGAAAATCTATATCTATTAAAACTGGCTGAATGCCATATCTCAAATGCATAATCATCATATACCAAGAACAAGAAAAAATAACAATTAAGCATCTCTAATTTTAAATCAAAACTTAAGTTGTTACTATGCAATATGTATTTCATGTTAAAAAAAACACTTCGAGTTTTATCTAGCCTTATTCTGATTTTCCATATAGAGGTTTGGATATCCCTATTAAAAGATGCTTCCTAAGGAAGCTAGAACTCTTTAAAATCCCGCCCTAACATCGGTTTAATTCTCATACGATTAACAACGTATCTAGACGTGTGACGTGTGCAATACTGCACATATATAAAAAATATATACCAGTGGGTTCAGGCAGAGGTAAATAAAGGAAAAATAGAAAAGAAAAAGTCAACGGCTATGCAAACGAGGGCATAAAAATAAACGGCGAGTTAACGAACAATATAAGATATACCGACGACACGGTGATCCTTGCCAGTACCATAGACGAATTATAACAGGTAATGGAAAGAGTTCATTCAGTTAGTGAGGAATACGGCCTGAGCCTCAACTTCAAGAAAACAAAGTGGATGCTGGTAAACAAAAAGCAACAACCTGCTCGACAATTACGGATAAGTAACATACTAATTTACCATATAGAATCTTATGTGTACCTTGGCACCAACATAAATGCAAAATGGGAACAGGCCACACAAATTAAGGCGAGAATAGAACGAGCTAGAGCAGCATTTAGCAATATGGAAAAGCTCCTCATAAGCAAGGATTTGTCTCTTCCCCTAAAACTACGTCTAGTTAGATGCTACATTTTTCTGATCTTACTATATAGTGGGGAGGCCTGGACGCTGATAGAGACGCTCACGAGAAAACTAGAAGCATTAGAAATGTGGGTGTGTCCACGCATTCTTCGTATATCCTGGACCGAACATGTCACCAACATAGAGGTAATCCAAAGAATCGGAAAGGAGAAAGAAATCGTAAGCAGAATTAAACAAAGAAAGCTTGAATATCTAGGCCACATATTGAGACACGATAAGTACCGTCTACTGCAATTGATTGTCCAGGGGAAAATAGACAGTAAGCGAGGGGCCAGGCAGGAGAAGACACTCGTGGCTCCAAAATCTGCGGAAGTGCTTGGGGCTCACATCGGTCGAACTATTCAGAAGCGCCGCAAACAAGATCAGAATTGCCATGTTAATAGCCAACGTTCGCAACGGACAGGGCACTTAAAGAAGAAGAAGTGGCTATAAATATGGAAAAGTGATGGCTATAAGTGAATACTTTGTGGCCATATGTTGCAAAAGTTTCCATTTTGTTTTTAAATATTTTTTTTCTTAAAATGGTTTATATTTAGCGGGCTTAAACTTTGAAGGTTGATTGATAATACTTCCCAATAAGTATTTAAATTTTTCCATCGTTTAATTTTAAAATTTGTTTAGTGTTTTATTCATTACAATGAAAGAAATTGTCTCTACACTAATTTTTTTTTATTATTGTTATTTTGTGGATTCTATTTTTGCCCCATTCGTTATATTAAAACGTATTCATTCACAAATGAGTTTTAGCAACTAATAATTGCATTACATTTTGTAGGTCAATATGCTGCACGTCTATCAATCTATATTAAGTCGGTGACAATGAAAGTGTTACATAAATTTATTATCTAACTAATATTGCTATTCCTTTTACGGATATTGCCTTGATAGTGAAAAAGTATCACGTACTATACAAATTACAAGTGGGTACATCGAATTTACCAATTTCACATTTTTGTTATGCACGATTAGAAATTATTTAGAGTAGGTATATAAATAATAGATCTGAAGACCTCAGGATCAGTTAATCAATTATTGTTTAATTTAAAACAATATATATTAATATAATAACAATAGTTATATTAATTTGGGAGTATCCAGCTTATTTTTACTATTAAGACAGTGAAGATGAGTTTTAAAACTGTAAGTAAACTATATTAACATTATTTATCAATTGAGAATCTAGAAATTGCCTATTACAAAGCTTATGAACTTTTATTTCGTGAATTCTTAATTTTCATTCTAATCTATCTATTCCACTTTTATCTATTATCTCCTTTTTGCAATAGTTATTAATAATAATAATAATTAGCGCATCGAGTCTAGTAGGCCCACGGCCTGATTCCATTCTCCTCCATCCCTTCTTGTCCATGGCTTTCATCCTCCAATTTGTGACGTTGAGACTTTATCATCTTCTACATCCATTTTCCACATTCTTTTGTGTCGACCTCTTCTTCTTTTCTTCTAATTATTTAGTTAACCGTGTCACTTCCTGTTTGCTTCTGGCTAATATTACTATAATAATAATATCCAGGATCGAAATATCACGTAAGGCTTTTATGACCTGGAAACCAGTTTTATGCAACAGAAACCTGTCAATGAATATTCGTAAGAAGGTCCTGAAATGTTATATGTGGTCGATCCTATTGTATGGTTGTGAGACATGGACGTTAAAAACCCCAATGCTAAACAAGTTAGAAGCATTCGAACTGTGGTGCTATAGACGAATCCTAAAGATATCGTGGGTTTCGCACACTTCCAATGAAGATGTTCTTCAAATTATCAATTCAGAACGTCTGCTCATAAACACCATAAAGAGGAGAAAAACAGAATACTTCGCCCATATAATTAGAGGACCTAAATACCATTTACTTCGCCTTATAATACAAGGAAAAGTGGAAGGAAAGAGATGGATTGGTCGAAAGAAACTTTCATGGCTGCGTAATATTATGACAATGGTGTGGTTTCACAGCAGAAAAATTATTTCGTGCAGCAGCCGACAGAGAAAGGTTTCAGGAAATTGTAAACATGATGACGGCCAACGTCTGAATACGGACACGGCACCCAAAGAAGAAGAAGAAGAAGAATATTGCTATATCATGCTTTTTATGATATATTTATAATTCCTCTTCTATTTATATTAGCTTCATGCAGCACGTTTTCCACAAGGACACTAAAGAGAATAGATAAAAGTGGGTCACCTTACCTTACTCATTCTATTAAAAAAGATAATGATTATGATAATTGTCTCTAGCTCGTCTATGTCGCTGGGAAGGTTGAGTTTACTTCTCGTTTCCTGGAAAATTTGACATTCGGTTAAAATATGTTTTATTGTACTGTTGGTTTGACACTAGTTGCAGTATGGGGGATGTTTCTTGTGATTCGGTAAAGATATGTATGGAGAGTGTCACCAAGTTGGAGTTTAGTAAAGATGACTTGTTTTTTCCTAGGTAACAAAAATGCTTGTTTTTGTAAAGCAGTGTGTTTAATTTCACTTAGTTCTTCGGAACACTGCGACCATTTGTTTTGCCAGGCACAATTAACTATGTTGTTTAAGTACAATTTAAGATCGCTTGGTACTATTTTATTTAGTTGAACTTGACCATCACTTGTCACTACTTCGTGAGTTAGACGGTCCACAATCATGTTACCATGTACTCCAATATGAGATAGAACCCAAATTAATACCACGTGTTTTCCTTTGCAGCATTTTAAAGTTCTTTGTAAATGTCTATATAAATAGGGTTGCTGGAGTATATGTTTTGGGTGTCACAAAGGGCATTTATTGAGTCAGTTATGATTGTGTAATTTCTCTGGTCCGTTTCGTTAATGAAATTTAGAGTTTCAAGGATTGCGTATAGTTCTGCGTTGAAGATAGTCCAGTTGTAATTCAACTTAAATTTAGCATTATGAGTATTAGAGAAAATTGCTGCCCCCACTCCGTCCATTGTTTTTGATGCATATGTGTAGATTTGTCGGTAGTCGCTAAATCTATCCATAATATCTTTGAAGTGGTGATTAATATGGCTGGTGGAGATTCATGTTTATTAAATTTTGATAGATCAGTGATAACTAATGCTTTATTTAAAGTCCATGGAAGAGGAGAGTTTTCGGTAGGTTAGTTGGGAATTGTGGGGAATGTTATAAATATTATGGTAGACTGGGTTATCTGGAGAGGATAGAACTTTACAGGCAAACGACAAACTTAAAAAATCTCTTCTAAATTCTAGAAGGATTTTCCCTGACTAACTGCATATACTTAGTACGGGGCTTGTTCGAAAGGCACCCAAAGCGACTCGCAGTGCCGTATTTAGTTAATTTTTGATCGACCTAAGGATGAAAAGATTCTTAGAAGAGTTCAAAATATTAATGCTTGCTGGCAACTGTCTTTTAAGATTCGATTTTTAATGTGACTTTTCCAAACCAATGTTTTGTCGAATGTAAGACCGATGAATTTTATTTCTTTTATAAAGATCAGATTCTTATCATTCAATGTTAAAATTGGATTATCCTCTTTTCGTATTTTTCAAAAGAACAAGCATTTGCAACAAGCTTTGAGTGATTTTTTGGGTGGATTCTAGATTTGTTCCTCTTAGAAGAAGAACCAGATCGTATTCGTACAGTCTTCCTTTAACTGGTTGTTGACATTGTTCCAAGATATCGTTAATTGAAACAAGAAATAAAGTTACACTTAACCTCGATCCTTGGAGGACTCTGTTTTCCTGGATTCGAGTTGATGATAGTATTCCAGTTTCTCGTACCTTAAATGTTGCGAGTTGAAGAAAATTTTGAATACATTTAGGAATTGTCCATTAATACACCAGGAGTGAAGTTTTTTTTATTTTACCATATCTCATGTGCAATCGTAGATTTTTGTTATATCGCAGAAAATAGCTAGACAGTGTTGTTTGTTAATGAGTGCTTCGTGAACTTTCACGATGAGTGTCGTTTTGCTCCGGGATAAGTTGTTTTTTATCTTCCAGAAACCATGTAAGGCGACAGTTTATAATCTTTTCGAGTAGCTTACAAGTTGACGAGGTTAGGGATATTGGTCTATAGGACTGGGGATGTGTTTTCGGTTTTTGAGGTTTAGGGATTGGGATCTTATATGATTCTGACCAAGACTTTGGAAAGTAGAGCTGTATACACAGTTGGTTCAAAACATTAAAGAGGTATATTCTAGCGTTTGTGCTTAGGTTTTGAACAAAAATGATTGGTATATCATCTGGATCCGGAGAAGAGTTTTTTATGCCAAACAATACATCGTCCAGTTCTTCTTTTGAAATTGGAGAGTTCATGTAGTGCACTCAATTGCACTCAAAACCAACGAAAATAAAAACTAACTTTGTATTTTTATTTTTAGGTATCATTGCTTCTTCTTACTTTCGCCATTTTCCAAATCGAGTGCAGTGTAGTTCCATTTAGATACACTCAAATAGCACCCCCAAATATCCGACCATTTGCTGCGCAAGTCAGTACATTCACTAGAGGACTTAACGTGCTAGCAGCACCTTTAGCCGCTGGAGTTTTAAATCCCCCAGCTATAGTAACCAGAAACATTGTTTCTGGTTTACCTTTCACAGGCCCTGCAGCATTACATGCACCCGTTGCAGCTCCTTTAGTACATGAGCATGTAGCAGCTCCTGTTGTATCTGCACCCTTTGAAGCCCCTGCTGTATTGCCTGCTCCAGGCGCTTTTTCAGCAGCATTTGCATCACCCGTAGCTCCAGTAGGTGTACTTCCTGCACCACCTGCGCATGTGCTGCCAGTACCGAATGCTAGATCGGTGCATGCAGTAGCTCCAGCAGCAGCACCCGTTTTATGGTAGTAACATAATAGTTTTAAATTAGATATTTATAATCTATAGACTGAAAACTACGTTTTTGTACATAATTGATTTTTGTGATATTGATATACTAAATATATTTTACTACTAAATACCGAAGTTTTAAACACATTTTATATTAGTGGAATAGCGTAATAAAGTTTCAGACGTGAAAATAAAATAGTAGGACACTATAAATATAGAAGAACAACAACCACACTACGAAATTATTTATGTTTTGGATAATAATTAAATAATAAAATTCTTTAAAAACAGAAAAATAAATAAGGAAAATGATAGCTAAAATTACAAAAAGATAAAAGAAATTAAAAGAAGTGTGAAATAGACAAAATTTCAAATTATCGCAAATATATCATAAGTTTAATGCTGAATGGAAAAACATTTGATGGTAATCATTTAAATATGTAAACGTTACTGTTATTCTAAATATATATATATATATATATATATATATATATATATATATATATATATATAACTTATCGATGTAGCTGTACTTATAAAACTCCTGGAGATCGGTCGCGAAACCAAATCCTAACTACTATTCGCTGAAGATCATCAGTCTAAACGGATATATCATGTCTTTGTGCAATATGCGAGTTAGATCATATTCTTCTTTTAATTAAAATAAAGCTAAACTAAAAGCATACAACAAACACCGAGAGATAGAAAGTTAGAAATAAGAAATAAGGAAGACCAGCTTAGAAATCTATATATATAAAAGAAAGTCGTGTTAGTTACACCACTTATAACTCAAGAACGGCAGAACAGATTTGGCTGAAAATGGGTAGGGAGGTAGCTTAGAGCCAGGAGATGAACATAGGATACTTTTTATCCCGTTCGACAGCGTTCCCGTGTGACTTGACATGAAACGTCAATCACTATAAAACGTGGTATAACAAAAAAGAATCAGACTTGGAATAATAAAACGCAAATGACAGCTATGTAATTGACGTAAAATGACAGCTATGTAATGACGTATGGATGACAATTTGATATTTGTAAGAAATCAATATTAAAACTATTTCTATTAAATAAATAATTAACAAGTGGATTGAAGTGAAGTGAAGTTTAATTAATAATGCCGCGACCAAGACGATCGAATCTTTCCCGACAAAGCCGTAATGCAAGAAGAATACAAAATACTGCAAATGAAAGGACTGAAGAAGAACAAGAAATTGCACGTGAACAGCACCGCGATAGTATGGCTCGACTTCGTGCTTCTCAATCACGAGAGCAAAGTGAAGCAGCCCGTGAAACAGCTCGGTTGGCAATGCAGAATCGTCGAGCGAACAACAAAAGGCAACAAATAGATAATTTGCGACGCCGAACAAGATATTTAGCTGATTTGAATCGAGCAGCGTTTAGATACGATTGCAGCAATGATTACAGCTTGCATCCTAGCGTTTGCATTGGGACGTTGTTTGCGAGTATTGTGGTGCATTAAAGTTTTCCGGAGAAACGCCTGGATTATGCTGCCTTAATGGTAAAGTGAAATTGCCAGTGTTGACTCCGCCACATGAGCCATTGTATTCATTGCTTTGTGGCGAAACACAAGAATCACGCCACTTTCTTGCAAATACTCGAAAATACAATAGTTGTTTCCAAATGACGTCATTTGGGGCAGACATTATCGAAGAAGGAGGATTTAATCTGACATTTAAGGTATTTATTTTTGTACTTACATAGAATGTAGTTAAAGAATAACTTACTTTATCTATTGGTATGTATTATATTTGCTAATACTGAACTCTACTCTCCCACAGAAAAAGTGTTTATAACCCAGTTAATACTGTGTGGTTTTTATTTTGTAGATACAAGGACAGATTCACCATCGAATTGGATCATTACTATCTTTCGAAGATACAGAGAATAAATGTTTACAAATATATTTCATGGGCAACATGGAAGAACAACTTGATCGACGCTTAGGGATCAATGCAGGAATGAAGCGAGCAATTATTCAAGACTTGCAGTGTCTGCTTCATGAACATCATGTGTTGGTCAGGTTGTTTAAGAGTGCTTTAGAGCGCATGCCAAATGATGACTATAAAGTTGTCATCAAAGCAGATAAACGACCATCTGGAACATACGAACGCACATTTAATGCTCCAACAGTAGACGAAGTTGCCATCCTTATTGTTGGTGAACAATTGGGAAAACGCGATATTGTGCTTACACGTCGCGATACTGGGCAACTGCAACAAATATCTGAAACTCATCGATCATATGACGCATTGCAATACCCACTGATGTTTTGGCAAGGAGAAGATGGATATTATTTTAATATTAAAATGATAAATCCATTGAATGTTAAAGTATCAGTATCTTAATAATGGTTAATGTCTGTAATATTTGTCTTTGAAATGGTTAATTATCAAATTTTTAATTTCAGGTGAAGAAACTACAAAGAAAGTTAGCTCAATGAATTATTATGCATATCGTTTGATGATTCGTCAAAATGCTGACAACTATTTGCTGCGGTCTCGTCGATTGTTTCAGCAGTATTGAGTTGACATGTATGTAAAAATAAAAACGGAACGTTTAACATTTATTAGGTTGAACCAAGCCAAACTGCGTTCTGAGGAGTACATCCATTTACGTGATACAGTTAGTACTGAAGGAAATGCAGCTAATATTGGTCGATTAACTATTCTGCCGGCGACGTATATTAGTAGCCCATGTCATATGCATGAATATGCACAAGATGCAATGACATATGTTCGTCATTACGGCCGGCCAGATCTCTTTATTACTTTTACCTGTAATCCAAAATGGATAGAAATTACTCAATTGCTGCTTCCCGGACAAACATCAAATGATAGACACGACATCACAGCACGTATATTCAGGCAAAAAATTCGGTCCCTGATGAACTTTATTGTTAAACAACGCGTCTTTGGAGATACTCGATGCTGGATGTATTCAATCGAATGGCAAAAGCGAGGCCTGCCGCACGCACACATTCTTATTTGGTTAGTGGAAAGAATTCAGCCTGACCAAATAGATGATATCATATGTACCGAGATTCCTGATCATGAAGTCGATCCAGACCTACATGATGTTGTTACTACTATGATTCATGGACCGTGTGGTGCCATCAATCCCCAATCACCTTGCATGGTCGATGGAAAGTGATCTAAACGATATCCACGGAAATTAACGGCGGAGACTGTCACTGGCAACGATGGGTATCCGCTGTATCGGCGTCGATTACCAGATGACAACGGTCGAACTGTCACAACGAAAGTGAAAAGAATGGATTTCGTTGTCGACAACAGTTGGATTGTTCCATATTCGCCACTTATTTATAAAACGTTAAGACACATTGCAACGTTGAATACTGCAATTCAGTTAAGTCCATAAAATATATTTGCAAATATGTCACGAAAGGCAGTGATATGGCGGTTTTTGGATTGCAATCCTCAAATACCAACGATGAAATTTCACGCTATCAAGTTGGTCGTTATGTGAACTGTAATGAAGCGATTTGGCGTATATTTGCATTTCCAATTCACGAACGTCATCCTACTGTTATACATTTGGCGGTGCATCTGGAGAATGGTCAACGAGTATATTTCACGGCTTCGAATGCTACGCAACGTGCTGAAACACCTCCAGCAACTACATTGACCAGTTTTTTTGCAATCTGCCAAAGCGATCAGTTTGCACGAACTTTGCTTTACCACATTAATTATAGATGCCACGTTATTATACTTGCAATGCTTCATCCAAGAATTTTCAAGACGGAAGCAAGGTGATGCGGTTCCTGGGTATCCAGATGTGCGTTCTACTGATGCTCTTGGTCGTATGTATACAGTTCATCCAAAGAATGATGAATGTTTCTATTTGCGGTTGTTGCTGGTAAATATGCGTGGGCCAACTTCATTTGAGACACTACGAACTGTTAACGGTGTAATATTCCCAACATATCGTGCTGCATGTGAAGAATTGAACTTATAAGAAAACGATATCCATTGGGATACGACAATCGCTAAAGCCATTATCTCTGCATCTCCAAGTCAGATACGCACATTATTCACTATCATAATTTCGACATGTTTTCCATCAAACCCATGTAACCTGTGGCACAAATACAAGGATAATATGTCAGAAGATATTTTACATCAAAGTCGTGTCAGTTCCAGAAATGACGATATTGAGATGAATGAGGAGATACATAATCGTGCTTTACTCTTGATCGAAGATATGTGATACCTCATGTGCAGTAATTTATTAATCAGGTTAGGAATGCCAGCGCCAAATCGTGAAATGAATGACGCATTTAATCGAGAATTGGAACGGGAACGTGAATATGATCACCAGGAATTAGATTTAGTAGTTCAAAGGAATGTACCCCTGTTGAATTACCAACAAAAGGAAGTTTATGACACTTTAATGAAGGCAATTGCTGATGAAAATGGTGGTTTATATTTCCTAGATGCCCCTGGTGGAACTGGCAAGACATTCCTTATGTCATTAGTTTTAGCAACTGTTCGGGCGAGATCCAACATAGCGGTTGCAGTTGCTTCTTCTGGAATAGCAGCCACATTGTTAGAAGGATGCCGTACGGCTCATTCAGTATTCAAATTACTGTTAAATCTTCAAACTATTGAAGAACCAACGTGTAATATTGCAAAACACTCAGCAATGGCCAAAGTTTTAGCGGCATCGAAAATCATCATCTTAGACGAATGCACAATGGCGCATAAACGTGCATTAGAAGCACTTAACCGAACATTAAAAGATTTACACAATGACTCGAGATGTTTTGGAGGAGCAATGATTTTACTGTATGGCGATTTCCGCCAAATACTGCCAGTAATTCCAAGATCTACGGCTGCCGATGAAATAAACGCTTGCCTCAAATCGTCAAATCTATGGCGCTATGTGAAGAAACTGCAGCTGACAACAAACATGAGAGTTACATTGCTTAATGATACATCTGCTGAAGATTTCTCGGAGCAATTGCTGACTATCGG